TAGAAAGATGGAATAAAGTATTGTCTTATGATGATATTTTAAAGAATAAACTAAACATGTAGATTTTAAAAGAAACTTAAATAAAACTTATTTCATGAACAAAGACTTTTGTAACAGCCTAGTATAAAAAACAACAACATGAAATTCCCTAAAATTTATGCATTTAAGGGATTTTGCTTTTTTCATCAGCTGTGGGTCAATCCTGTGGTCGGGAGACCCTCCTGGGCCAACCGCAGGCTCTATAAAGTGGGTACTCTTAATTAAATAATTAATTAAGGGGGAAAACCTGGCAGTTGAGCGTGACATTGGCCTGTCACCTGTACCCTTACAAGTCACAACCTTGATTCATTGATCAAAGCTACCATGATTACTATGGAAGAATAAATATTTAATGTAAGTTCATTATAATTTTTCTGAACTACGAGTAAATTTTAATAAAAAATAAAAAATTATTAGCAACATTCTCAACAATTGACAGGTAAATGGGCTATAACAAGTATATAAGTTTGAAAATCATGAGCTGTCGACATAAAGCAAAAACCATGAAGTCCTCACAATGTATGCTTTGTTGTTAACTACTCCTTGTTGTTTGTGGCTAATTTTCCATTTCAAAGATTTAAATTTTTAAAAAATTAATCTTATTAATATACGTTGAATTAAAACCTTTTTATGACATTTCTTAATATTTCTAGGTTTACCTGGTCATTTTTGAAAAGACAGGTCATAGAAGTGGTTATAACAGGACATAATATTTGTTTTTTGCAATTTAATTAATTTACCTACAATATTATGAGGCAATAAATAACATAGACAATAACCGTACACACTGATTTACTATTAATTGACTATGAATATTAAAAAAAAGTTAGGCTCCGAAGTTTTTTATTTCTCAACTGATCTTCATCATTAGGTCTGTATATCAACGGTAATGGTTCATTAACTTTTGCCTCACCACCCTTGTGGGAATAAAATTAATTGTGGCCCCGATATAGGATTAAAACAATTTCATAGCAAACTTGTATTACAATAGAATTTTCACCCATTTTTTGAGCAAAGTAAAAGTAAATATACATTTAAGCAATAATACAAAATGTTAGCCAATTCGAACGATTAGTTTCAGAATTATGGGCTTTTAAACTTTTTAAATATTTGAAGTTGGGAAGACATTTTGGGCTCAAAACCAGCATGCACATGTTTGGTTTTCATTTGTAAAACCAATATTTTTTAACAAAGAGCTTTCAAAATTTATTCATTTGCCATAAATTTAATACAGAATCTGTTGATATAAGTTTTCTATTATAATTATAATTTTTCCTCATGTAAAAGAAAAACAAATTTTCAAAGTAGTGACAAAAATATATAAAACTACCTCTAGCTAAAATCTCCCTTCAAATACCCCACTACAACCATATATTAGTGAAAACAGCATAACATTCTCTACCAAATGCAAAAATAATAGTAGAATTTTGAGTTTGAAAAGTTTTATTACAGTTTAAACACAATACAGTAAATTTTAATTTACCAGTTGCAAATACAAGTGAAATTTGTTTGAATCTCTCTCCAAATCAGAGATAGGCATATTTATATTAAAAAATATAAATACGAATACCATTTATATTTCTGGTACTAATGAATATAAATATGAATATATTTATATTCATAAAAAGATATATAAATACAGATGATACATATTCACTGCTGTAAATATAAATATGGCCATATTCACGTTTGTAAAAGTGAATACAGGGGTATTCATATTTACTAAAATGAATACGCTTAAATTTACAGAAGGGAATGGAAATATTTTCACACAACCTTATTAATGAATACTCTTATTTATCAAAAAAAAAAATATTTATTAAATAATTTGTTTAAAAAAATATGTTTAATATATATATATATATATATATATATATATATATAATTTTATTTTTATATATAGTATTATATTCTTTCTTTTACAATATGTTATGTTAATTTAATGTCCCTGAGACAGATTGTAATATATTTCAATAAATAAGCTATTAGAAAAAAAAAATTATGTTACAATATATTATAGTATGTTAATTATCACTCATTCGTACGCAAGTTTGTCAGTCCCGCCAGAAATGACGTAGGGGAAACTCTCAAATATCAGGACAACTTAATTTTCTATGAAAAATTAATACGATAGTTAATAATGGATATTTAATGGAGGACTCAATAAGAGTTGAAAATGGTCCTAGTGATTATCGAAACATTGTCTTAATGAAATAGCTAAGAAATAAAATTTTGGTGAATAATGGCCTAATTTATATAACAAATATCCTAATTTATTTTTAAAATTCCTTTAGTCTTCCCAAAGCTGGCTGGGTTAACATCAATAGTTTTATTCCATGAATAGTACATTCATAGACTCGCTTATAGATTGTCTTATTCTCACTTCTACACGGCATATCTTCTATGGTCATGATTAAACAATAAACTGGTTGGATATACACTAAAAAGTACTCTATAAGAAGAAATTTTAAATTGAAAAAAATAAGCAGCCAATAAGATTTTGACTGTGGTACAGACCTCTTTTCATCAAATAATTAACATCGGTCTGAAACATCATGAATAGATATATCTCATCGTAACCTACAACTATTTTATTTATGAAAATTCTTGGAATTGTGTCATTTTCAATGTGAAGATCGTCAAACTTTGTCTATTGAATTAGGTACTAAAAACTCGTAAAACCCATTTGCTTTCTACTTGAATCATAAGATAATTTGAGCACAAACTCGAGAAAAAAGATGGCCTTCAAAATATTGAGCCGTTTGGCATGACCTACTACCCCAAAATGTAGAAATAACAAGGTTATATAGGGTAAATGGCCTAATATTTTTGTAGGCCACCTTTTTTAATAGATTTTGTGCTCAAATTATCTTACAATCCAAGTAGAATGCAAATGGGTATATACGAATTTTTAATACCTAATTAAATAGACAAACTTACCTCCAGATTGAAAACTGCCTTATTCCACGGGTTTTTGCAAATAAAATAGTTGTAGGTTACGATGAGATGAAGCTATTCACGAAGTTTCAGGCGGAGGTTGATAAAAAGAGGTCTGTACTGTGGACTTATTAGAAAACCTATAAAATCAAATAAATGATAACTTGACAAGATTTAGCTGTGGTAAGAATCCTCTAAACACATTTTGACCTCAACCTCTAAACATTTAAGGGATTATTCACTCTCAAATTTAATAAACATAAAGATTGTATTGTTGACCATACCGGCACCTAAATACGCAGAAATTATTTTATTTATTAATATTATAATAAATCTCATTGAACTCAATAGGCCACTCCAATGCTATTTTATCGTTTGGAAGATTATTGCATGTCGTTTGAAGTAACCATATACTACTTCAAATGTTTTCACTAATATATGGTTGTATTGGGGTATTCGTAGAAAGATTTTTGCTGCAGGTATTTTTCAATATCGATTATTACACCATTTCCGAATAACGCAAAAACTTACTTGATTAAATCTCTTATAATTCAAAATTCCACAAATATTATTTGATGATCTGATAGAAAATCCCATGCTCTTTTCAGTGATATGTGGTTATACCAGCATATTTGGAGAGATATTCAAGCAAATTTCACTCGTATTTGTAACTGGTAAATTAAAATTTACTGCATTGTGTTTAAAGTGTAAGTATTTAATAATTTAATTAAGTATTTATAATATTTGAAGTATTTTCAAACTCAAAATTCTACTATTATTTTTGCATTTGGTAGAGAATGTTATGCTGTTTTCACTAATATATGGTTGTAGTGGGGTATTTGAAGGGAGATTTTAGCTAGAGGTAGTTTTATATATTTTTGTCACTACTTTAAAAATTTGTTTTTCTTTTACATGAGGAAAAATTATAATTATAATAGAAAACTTATATCAACAGATTCTGTATTAAATTTATGACAAATGAATAAATTTTGAAAGCTCTTGGTCAAAGAATATTGGTTGTACAGATGAAAACCAAACATGTACATACTGGTTTTGAGCCCAAAATTTCTTCCCAACTTCAAATATTTAAAAAGTTTAAAAGCCCATAATTCTGAAACTAATCGTTCGAATTGGCTAACATTTCGTATTTTTGTTTAAATGAATATTTACTTAATATTTACAAATTTTCATTGAGATTTGAGGGGGTTGGGTTACAAATTGAAGTTTTTCTGGATGATTTGATTTGGCATGTGATGAAATGACCCACAGATATTATCTTAAATTAGAATGATTTAATTTTCATTCTTTTATTAATAAATATAAAATTATTAATTTTTATAATCTCTATTCAACAAATTACCAGTTTTTGTCCTAAATATTATTGCTACAGGATACACTTATTGCCCAGTTTGAGAAACCTTGCTGCAGATGCTCGATTTTAGCAACAAAAAAAAAAACTTAGCTATACATTCCAATCATATACTCACAGTATATATAATTTAAATTTTTATTTATAAGTCAGACTGTTAAAACTTTGAAATGAATATTAAACAATTCAAGTAGATTTGTGTATGTTTCTTTTACAATTTAAAATAAAATTGTTTTAACTAAAATTAACAAATTAGCAATGCAAGTAGATAACACGAACCAATTTCAATCGTTAACTAAGCACGGATATGACTTTTTTATAAAGTAGAATTGAACATTTAACTCAATAATAAGTAATCAATAACAAAAAAAAATCAATGGGCATTATTTATATTATAAAAAATATATATATATTTTTTTAAATTACTAGATTTCACTGGACGGGAGTGGGATAAAAGAAGAAAAGAAAGGAAAAAAAGAGGAATTCTACAACTCTACAAGAGGAAGTGAAATAGATCTGGGCCACCATGTCGAATCCACACACACATACAGACAAATATTGTGTCTTTGATGTATCACAAAACCACTACAGAACAACCTAAGGAAGAAAACACGGTGTTAAGAATAATATTATAATTTTATTGTCGTTCACTAACCTGTTCCTTCATGATGGCCGCTTGCTGTCGTTTCAGCTCTCGCTCCTGGAACAGAAACAAACAAAATGTTAGCTCATTATTAAAATATTATCATAAGTTTTACAACAAAATATAACCTCATTGGAATCAGTTAAACTTAACAAGATCATTTAAATAAGATTTTTTTCTTAAGAATCAACAAGCAAACTGTTACAAGTTTTATCCAAAAAAAACAAATATCTTAGTTGCATTTTTAAAAATACTAATCTAATCCAGAATAAAGCTAACATTCAGCAGTGCAATAATAGTAATAATAAAATTTTATCAATGCATTAAAAAAGAAACGAAACAAACTGGCTTATCCTTTCTTGAATGAAAAAAGACAAGATGAAAACTAAAAACTAACCTGTTGCTTCCGCTGCTGACCTTCTAACCTTTGGCGCTCCAATTCCTCCTGCTTTTTCTTGCGAGCCTTTACATGCAGACACAAAACAATGAACATATAACTAATAATAAATAAAAAAAGTTAATGATGTCAAAGAACTAACAAAGCAAACAAAATTGTTATCTTGTAACAGCCATTATATTTAATAAAAAATAGTTTTAAAAAAATTACATTTAAGTTATCAGTACTACAATCAAACTAAACAAAAAAATCCAGTTAGTAAGCCGTCGGTTCTAGTGGTTACAGCATCCAGTGAAAAATTTCAAGAGATAATAAAGCCATCCAGTTCAAAGAATTTCCAAAAAGCAGAAGCATGCAATTTTTTTTTTTAAAAAGACAATAATTAAAAACATGCTAGCATACAACAAGACATAAACAAGAAACACTACAGCCATAGCAGAATGACCTATCATTCAACCGATCTTATGTTAAAGAATTAATTGGTCAATGAGTAGGCAGGGTGATCGAGAACAACCTCAGAGAAAGATGTTCCCTTGAAGTAGAGAGAGATAGAAATGTGATGCAGGATGACGATGCGGGGGGAGCCTATACCGCCACGGCACTTCTGCAAATGCTCTTCATGCTTCGACTACTCGACACTAATTAGTACTGAGGGTGTCCAAATTTCGCTCTTATAATCACAATAACATATATTTTATTTACTATAATCATTACAACTAAAACAAAATTATATGAGTTCGATCGATAATAATTAAAAATGTTCTAATACCTTTTTAAACTGTCATATTGAAAATTAATATTTAATTATAAATAAATATGAATCGCTGTCTCCTGGCCACTACCAATATTAATATGAGTACATCACCTAATGCAACTGATTAATTGAATAACATCTGAAATTTATCTGGACAAAGAAAAGAACCTAACGGATATTTATATATAAATAGACAATATACATTATACAATATACATACAATGGTACAGTGTGTGTCAGTCATAAATAACTACAAATAGTCAGAACTATTTACTAAACCAATGTTTTAACCCAACTATGTAGGTTGCCATCAGGGCTAAAATGAACAAGATACAAATCTATGGAATAATGTAAGAATTATAAGCTAAGATTGAGATATAGACGATAAAAGTATTAGCAGAGTAATAAAAAATGTAATAAGAACATTAAAATATAAAACAAAATAACTAATTAAATAACTATAAGACATTAGATAGCTAACCCTCCATTCCCAATGCTTTCATCATATAAGCAACATCAGAGAAATATTTATTCCTACATACAATATATTATCAAAGTGGCCTATTCAACACGCGCGATTGGTGAAGCTTCATACTCTACTATGGCTGTGAAGTATCAATTTACTTAATAAGTGATTAACTTGTCCTATTTTGTAAAACATCTCTCCAGTTTAATAGTTAAGCAATAAGGCAGAGCTATCTCCAGAACTAATAGCGACAGATCCATTATAGTACTCGCTCAAGACCTATTTGTTTGTTGATGCTCTCACTTACAAACAGTCTAGAAGTTTATTAATGAAGGTACATAAGTCATATATAGATATTTTTGTATATATATCAAAAACATCAAACAATTTCAATTTATTATTATCCAAAACGCCCAAGGGGTCACAGAGCTATTATCCACCATTTCACTTTTCAATCTATTTTTTGTTTGTTGAAGACCATCATAAATAGCAATATTCTAATTTTAAAACCTAAACATGTGATAAGCATTTCATGAGTACCATATCACTTAAAAGAGGATTTCAGCAAAGAATTACGATTTATATCGATAACAGCATATACAGGCCTTTAAGAGGAAGGACCCAGTGAAGTTCCTTTAGAAACTTGATATCCCCGCATCAAAATCTTTAATACACAATATATCCCATGTCCATCCATTGATTTTTAAAACCATCTGAGTTTTGAAACCTTTGAATTTCTTAAATTATTTTGATTTAACTTGTAGAAATTTAAGGAACGAAATTGGGATTCATCACTTTTCTATGAAATTCTCTTTCATTTGATATCTCATTCAACAAAATTACTCCCGAGAACTAGAAAAGGATCGATAGTATTGATGCAACACTAATGTTTTATGTATAGTGTGGATTAAATTATATAATCAGATAAAGAATTACCATATGCCATAAATAGATGGTTCCTTTTCATTTGATACCTTCTTCTTCTTCATCATTATCCCCTCTATATGGCTATGATTTGATACCTTACTAGATAATTTTCTTACTACATTTAACTGTGCTAATAAATAGTTTTTTTTTTCAAGTCTTTATCTTATCAATCTTCACAGGTCTTTATGTTGTTCATTTTAGCTCTGATAGAGACCAGCATAGTTGGGTCAAAACATAGACTATATAAATAGTTTCGACTAGTTCATACTACTTTAATTTATTATTATTGGAGGAAATTAGTCGACTGTTCTACATATCATGGGTGATAAATATTCAAGACGCAGTCATTATAAAATTTTTATTAGTGCAGACGATTCAACCTAAATATGTGGGTCATCAGGGCGTGCTTGGTGCACTGAATGTATTCAAGTAGTACTTGAACTGAATACTTGAATACCTTCAGTGATCGAAACATGCCCATATGTTTACCCAAATGTTTGGGTTGAAACGTTAGCACTAATGTGACTAATGTGAATTATAATGACTGCGTCCTGAATATTTATCATCCTTTAATTTGTTATGATATAACTTATTACCATAGGCCATCACTTCCCTCAAAATAACTTATCACTAAAAAAAAAACTGAGTCTTCGGAGAGAAGATAGAAGGCTTTATACTAACATGATATGTTTCCGTTAAACAATTTTAAACTACTTTTATTACTTATAAGTATAGACTGGTTTTCTCCAAAACCTAACGTAGATAAAGCAGCATACAGTTGCCAGCAGGAAAAACAGTCATCTCTAAAGTTGAATCCAATATACTTAAAATGATTATTCCAGTCCTTTATTTATAGACGCTAATATAAGTACTTATAGCTTTCAAATTTACTTTTTGATCACTTTCCATGGTTCATAGCATAATGTAATAGCAAAAGCCTTTCTCAAAAGTTTATCTAACATAAAAATATTTTTAAATCTTACTGCCATACTGTTGGAAATCTTACACTTTTTTAGCTTAAAAATATTTGCAGCATTAAAACTTTTATCTTTCCGTTTCCCAGGATAAAGGTGAACACTTTTCATGAATATATATTGACTATATATGTGCATTCTGCCTAACTTAAAACGTTTTCATAATATGTTCTAAAGAGACCTATGACCCAGAATAATAAAGATTTGTTATCATTTCATTATTATTTTATCATTTAGGGCAAGGTACCACCTACCCACTCACTGAGGCTCAATATGTAACGTGAGAGTTGTTCTATCTATGGGCTCCTGTAACAAATATTAAATTCTTGGTGGAACTTGAATCCGAAGTATAATATATAACCAGAGCTCAGATGTTTATGCAGTCAAAACTCACCGAATATGCCATATAATATGCAATAAGAAAACCTAAAATATGCAGTAAAAATTTACAGCAAAAAAATTGTAATCTCTGAATAAAAATATTTAGTTGAGAATGTATATTATTAGCTTTCATAAATAAATGTTTATAAAGTAGAGCTGAGAGACTTATAAGAGTATTATGTTTATATCAACTCCCAGATAAACTACTATTTAAAGGTTTTAAGCTGAATACATATTTTCTTTTGTTTCTTTTTTAATCTACAATCTCCATCTTGCATCATAAACGTTATTTCTCAGTTGAATTCTATTTCAACTCAAACTGTAACTTTTTTTTCTCATTAAAGTGCCAAATTACAAGTAAAAGTTACTTTTAAAAAAAAATCTGAAAACTTAATCTAAACTAAAAGGATTCTAAAATAGGAAAATAAAGGATAATTTTAAATACCATAATTCAACTACCTGAGGCAGTAGAAGTAATGCAGAGTTATAAATTAGTTTATTGTGCTCACTAATCAATTATATTTGGCCATAGTAAATAAGGAATAAGATGTTGCAATTTAACTATGGTGCTCACCTAGGTAAGGTAATAAATAAAATTTATAAAAAGTGTGGTTACATTAACATACAATAGGAAGTTGCTTACTTTCATAGACTATGATAAATAAATTGAAACTTTGAATTAAAAAGAAAATATTTTTAATATAAAAGAACAAAATCACAAAAAGAGACCTAAATTCATTTTTAAGAAACATAAAGACTGTTATGATTCCAAGATAAAAACTTGAGATCATCAATACCTGTGATCAGCCAATATGTTTTTTATTTTGTCATAATAGTTCTTATTATTGTTACATATTTATTAACTATGTAATAATAATGTCAACTCCTAATACAAGAAGTATCTGAAGCCTTCAAAGTTTGAACTGGCTTACAGCAGGGAGTTAGACTATCACTGATGTTCAATGTAGAGCTGGAGAAGGTAACAACAGCATCACACCAAAATAGAGAGGTCCAGATCAAAAAGAATCATAAATTCCTTGGATACCCAGATGATATAACTGTCCTTGGAAGTAATCAAAAGGACATTGAGAAATTCACTTAAACTCAGATAAGACAAGTAGATGAATACAAAACAAAATGTACGATAATAAGCTGAAAATTCCTGAAGGGAAATCGTTCCCTAGAAATTCAAATACCTCAGTCCACAATAACCTCAATGAATAACCAATGGTCAGAAATAGCGTAAACAAAGCTTTCTTCTCCCTTTCAAAGGTATTGGAATTCTGAAAAATTTCAAGAAATTTTAAATTAAGGATGTACAATGTTATGATAAAAGGCAGTTCTAATATATAGCTGTGAGACATGGACACTGACCAGTTCCCTAGAAAAAAGTATTGAAACATTTGAGAAAAATCCTTCACAGGATAACCGGAGCAATCTGGGATCAGAATACTAACACTTGGAGAAGAAAGACTAATAAATATCTGCTTACAAAAACTGGTCGATCAATAACTCATGATATAAAGGCATGGAGGTTAAGATGGCCTGGGCATGTAGCCATTTTAATTATAAAAGGAATAGAATTGTCTTTATGGGTAGAAAAGTGAGAAGTTCCATCACTAGAGAGATCAAAAGGATTAAAAGTTATCCTTCAGTGGGCAGATTGCATGATCGTGAAGGTGCGTAATATTCAGCATAGACTATTTATTTACAATAGTGATTTAAAAATTCTATGAATACAAAAAGAATGGAGGTATAGTAGATGATTAATATCTGCAGTGTGTTCGGAAATAGAAAACAAAATAATGCAATGTATACTATATTAAAATATGCCGGAAAAGATCTTTAACTGCACTTATGTTTCATTACCCTTAAACACAAAATATAACATCATTTAATATTTAACAATTATATTCTATTGTCTTATATAGCTTCTATGATTTTATGTGTACCACCCATCCCCCTTCACCACATATGAATAAAGAACTAAAGGAGAAATAACATCTGTTGAATCATTGGACCGAGTACTAAGGTAGACAGGAAGAGTGGTCAAAATTTTCAGATAGTAATAATAGTAAATAGTAACACTATTACCCATATATATGTACCATTAGTAAATACTATCAATACATAATGTACCATTAGTAAGTACTATCGATACATAATGTATCATTAGTAAGTACTATCGATACATAATGTATCATTAGTAAGTACTATCAATATATAATGTACCATTAGAAAGCAATAAATAAAAAGAAAAATTAAGATATATTGTAATGTACACCTTTATTGAAAGTTGGTAAAAATGGTTTAGTAAATTAATGTTGAACAGTTAAAAGGCAAGCTAATCTAGTTCTGCTAATGTCAGGGGATGTTTAAATTTGAAAAATAGTTTCACTAGTTCAGAGAAAAGAAAATGGCTGCTCTGTAGTTTGCTCAAAAAGGAAAATCCTAAAGAGGAGAGGGACAAATGATTTTTGTTTTGGTAAGCAGTTATTGTTTAGCTGGGGCACTGTTATTTGGAATTACAAGAGAGAGGATGTCCCAGGGAGCTTGAGTTGAATAGATGAAAGTGTCACCATTTTGTAAGTTGTGTTTGGTAGAACATTGAAAAGTGTTGGAAGATGAATGAATTCAGAGCTCCAAAGGAAGAAACAGTGTTTATAGAAAAAAAGTTAGCTTGATTCATACTTGACTTCATTTTAAAATCAAACAGTGTTTAGTGTAAATAATATTAGTTTGTCTGAGTCTTTTGATCTGATTGTCAGTATCCCACCCCTTGAGATAAAATTATTATAAATTTTAGTTTATTATATCAATATTCCAATAATTTTATTTTTATTTAACAACCTCTTATTTCTTTTGGAAGTATTGCTACAGTATGAAGTGAGCTCCTGAAGTTATATAATTAGTTAAAATATAAGAAATAATACAATATAAATATAGTCATAAAATGTAATGAAGTTATTAGAAATTCATCGATTTAAGAGAATAGGCAGGTAAGAAAAACAACCGGTAATTAATTGTTTTAAATAAATATGTTGTAGCATTTACAATTTTTACGTTCACTTTCCTATATTTGAAAATACATACCTATTTTTACCCAGATAGTTCATGAAAGTTGTATTTTGTCTACATCAAAGAAAATTTATTATTTGGCCCTCATTAAATATATACATATATTTTTTTTAAACTGCACACCGAAATGTTAACTTGAATTTAGTAATGGTACCAATTAAACAGTGAATTGTCCGTATAGAGAAATAAGTTATTCAAATATAACAATATATTTTAAAATAGGTATATAAACATTTTATAACTAAAACTTTCTGATCGATTGAGAAAGTAAAATAAATAAAAAGATAAGAAGAAAACAAACAAAATTTGGAACCCTGAGTACATTTAATCTACGATGTTGTTTTCGACGTATCGTACCGAGCAGGCTCCAGGTGTAGGCATTACATTGCCCCTTTGTTTCCAAATGGTCGCCACCGTTGAATTGGCCAGACCCAACTCTCGGCTAACGTCAGATTTGCTTTTCCCCGATTCAATCTCCCTAATAATCCTCCATTTTTCTTCGCTTGTGAAAGCTAGCCTCTTTCGACCCTAAGCAAAAGAGAAGTTACTTCAAATTTTTCCCCCACCTACAGCCCCCAAACCACTCCGGGCCTTCATATAATATACAATTTTTAATAAATAAATAAAAAAATACTAATCATAATATCATAAAAATTTAAAATAAAAAAAAACAAAATTTTATGAATGAAATTTACAACTTTTTCTATTTCTATTTTTTTAAAAACTTTTTACCACAGTAAAAAAAGTAAGAAAAAAAAATAGCAAAGGTCAAAGTGGAGAGAAAAAGAGAAATAAAGTGCAAAAATAAGGAAAGAAAAAAAGGTGAAAAGAATTAACTGATACATTGTGACACTAACCTTTGACTAAAAATATGATATATATATATAATAGGTGCAAAAAGTGTAGAAAAAAAAAAGAAACAATTATAATATTATGACATATATGATCTTCCACATATAAACATATACAGGTAATTCAGATATGAAATTATACACTTGATATGGCCATCACCCAACTTGTGACATACAAAAATGTAGAAAACATTCTAAAAAGAAATAAACAAAATGATCTACACTTTTAAACAATTAAATGTTAATTTCCAAAAAACATACATCATTTATATCGATTTAAATATCGACATGCAATAAAGCCATCGTCGAACTAACCTCCATCAACTGCTGACTTCTTTGTTCCTTTTCCTTTCGAGCGGCTTCCTGTCTTTCCGTTCTTTCCTGCTCCTTTATCAAACTGTAAAGAAATATAATAGAATCAAATATCAAATAAATTAATTTTTTTAAAAAGGAAATATCAAACACAGGTAGTCAACAAAAGTCTGATAGTCAGATTCCCTTACTTTGCCTTCCCTCTTAAATAAAACTCCCTCTCCCCTCCTTCAAAGTAAGGAAGTAATAATAAAAAAGTGATATAATAAATATCTTTGGTCCCAATATTAAAAAATCATGAAGACTAAAAATTATAAATCAAACCAAACTTGAGTATGGTCCAAATATGAGAACATCAATTTTTGATTTCTGATATCAGAAATATGAATGTCCTTAGAGTCAAGAAAAATTCATTACCAAGTTTGGTGAAAGGATTATTAAATTGTCGCAGGCTTAATGTACGCAGTCCCATTTTGGAAAAACAAAATTACAGGCGAAAACTATATAATTATTATTGATATTCACTTTCTTTAAAAACATTGCAAGTTACATAAAAACTAAGTCAATGATTTTAATAAAATATTTCTTTTTTTTTTTCTCTTTGGTGTCATAATGCTCTATGACCTTGAAGGCCTATTGTGTGCCATATTTATAAGCCAATTTATATTAAAACATTAATTTTGTCATTCCGAGTATCTCTCAGCAGGCTTATAGGATTAATAGACTAAGAGCATTAGAGGTCTAGAGTCTAAGCCTAGCAAACCTGTCACATGGACAAATAATGTGAAGGACTGTTTCATTCTCTTAGTGACAGGATCTACACAAGGGAATCCCAGTCAGTTTGAGATTGGACATTTAATGGTTAAGTTTACAGTGACCTGTATAGATCACAGTGACCTGTGTAGATCACAGTGACCTGTATAGATCACAGTGACCTGTATAGATCACAGTGACCTGTATAGATCACAGTGACCTGTATAGATCACAGTGACCTGTATAGATCACAGCAAGCTTTTTAAGAGCCACTTTATCCAAACCGCTTTATCGCCATATCTCCCTGAGTCTCCTTTTGGCAATGCTTAGACTAATTCCACATTTGGGTTCAGGTGTTATGAGAATGGTATCTTAGCCTAATGTGGGATCAGCTTCTTCGTTACCAGGGTGACCAGGCATCCACTCAAAGTATAATACAATCTTTATTTTAGACGATTTGGCTAGTTCACAGTTCCCTTTTGTGGTTGAAGGAGGAGAAAGGTAAAACTTTCATAGTGTAAATAACCTAATAAAGTTTAATCGTAAATAAGTTGTTGAAAGTTAATTTTAAATGATTCGTTTTGGTGGGAATTGGTGAATAGCCTTCCCCTTTATCGGGTAACTAGGTTATTTACACTCGTGATTATTAAAACAAAACCCCGGCACTGGATATAGACTTTTTGAGGGTGTTTAACTGTTGTTAGGAATTCGGGAATCTAATTTCTTTTGTGACAATGTTACAAGAAACAATAAGAATATATATATATAAATACATACATAATGTGGGACTGAGTAAATAATTTTGAATGAATTGACTCACCTGGTTTGTCATTTTTCAATTGTGAGGCCTATTGGACAACTAAATAAAAGGACTATTCACTCCTGTCTAACAAAACAATTTATTTTAACAACTGATAATAAATGAATATATTAAAGTCTTATAACTGTAGGCTTGATAATCTTAGTCTTCAATGTCCTGCCTCTCTCATCTCAGCTAATGTCCTCTCGTCTTCGTGTCCAGGCCTCAAGTGCTTCCCCTCTTCTCGGCGTCCTTCTGCCAGCTGCTGCTACCTGACCGGACCTTCTCTCCTTCTTCATCGATTGTTTATCGATATGAGACTTTTCAAAGAACAAATTGTCCACTGCACAATTGAGTGCAATTCACAGTGCAACATCACATTCCTATATATTATATATTCCTTCTCATTCCCTCACACAATGTCACACAAAGAAGTAAATACAGGGGGCTATCTACTACAATAGCGAATAACAATAGCTTATTGATTGTTTCAAATTATGCAATTTGTTAATTGAGAGTTTAAATACCACTTGCTTCATTGTAGAACAATTTTTTTATGTGCAAATTGATACTTCTACATATTTTCCCAGATACAAATTGAAAAACTGTTCTGAATGGAATGAATCAATTATCACAATATTCGGAGTGAATCTAGAATGAGAAAACTAAATGTTAACCCAAAGCCTACTGGTGGGGGAACTTGTACGGCAAGTAGACATTATTGTGGTCCTTTTTTAACCTAAATCTCTAAATCTAAAACCTTATTTCCCTATCCACCAAGAAATAACTATTAATCGACCCAGGTGGGAATCGAACCCACAAAGTTCAGAACCAGGCACTCTGGGACCCATGCTCGGCATCACATCTTCTCACCCAAAGTCAAGAAAACATTAGGAAATTTTTTTGGTAAATTCAAACATGTAACAAGTTGCAAGGACAGATATTAAAAGAAAAAAAATATACATATTTTTTGGGTGCCTACTTCTTTAAATTATATTAATTTCTTTTGATGCATTACATTTTTATTTTTTTTTGCCCAGAATGATCGGAAATTTCTCTGACACAAAAATCCTGACTTTTCCTGGTTCTATCTGTTAGTAGACATTCATAACAGAAATAAAATAAAAAAGAAACTTACCGCAATTGTTCTTTCTGCCTCGCCGCCTCTTCCTTAGCTAACCTCCTAGCCTCCTTAGCAGCCAAAGCTAACCTATCTCTTTCCAGTTTATTCTGGTCCAAAGCAGCTCTACAAATATAAAAATAATATATCAATAGAAATCTGTACTATACTATTATATAAAGTCCAATAATTTGTTTTTTTGAACATACAAATTCCAGAAACTACAACATCAATTACAAACAGTAATTATGAGTTATACTATTTATTAAGGAAGGCTTTAAGCTTTACAGTATCAAGTCAAGGACCATACGAATAGAGCAGTAACCATTAAACCAAGTTTACACATTTCAAAAACACCAGAAAGACAAGTAACCATTAAATCAAGTTTACACATTTCAAAAACACCAGAAAGACAAACAACAAAAAGAAGAAATAGGGTTTTAAATACTTTTGTACTTCCAGAGAAACAACCATGAATCACATTTGTCCTAATCTTTAGCAATTTTAAAAAGGATGTCAAAGGAAATTAAAGGAGACATAAAATTTGTCAAAGGAGGAAAATTGGTTTATATTGTACCAGAAATCATTAACATTGCTAAATCTCCCAAATTAATTATTAAGCAATAAGACACAGCTATTCCTCAACCATTATTGAAATCTCTCGAGAGCTATTTATTTAGTCAGGAAGAGCCCTGGTTTGTAATTCTCTCACTTACAAGAGTATAGAAGTCTCTTACTGAGATTATAGAAGCTATATATGGATATCTTTCACATCAAAACTTCTTTAGGTGCATTTTGCAATTTTTTGTGAAGATTGAATTAGATTGAGCCGTCAGATTTATGATGTGTAACACTCTGGTAAAATCAGCTGGAGTTGACTAATTGAATTTTTTTCAGCATTTTATCTTCTCTGTAATGGTCTATTATTCAAAATTGTATCTTAACGTAACTCCTTATTAGGGAGGAGAAAAGGAAACAAATAGTGTCGAAAATCAAATGATAACAAGTAATATTGAAGATATGGATTAAAATATCTCAGAAACTAAAAATTGGACCTCCATACTGTAAGCGAGTGAATTTTTGAGCATTACATCCTCTTTATAATAGGCTTTATTCAAAATTTTATCTTAACACGATGCCGTGTTAGAGATGTGAAAATGGAAAAAATAGTGTCGTAAACCAAATTATAGCAAATTTCATTGAAGATATGGAATAAAATATCTCAGACACTAAAAATTGGACCTACGCACTGTGAGCAAGGGAATTGTTCACCATTTCATCATCTTTATAATTATAAGCTACTATTTATAATTTATACTTTATATTATTAAATCTTTCTTGTTGATGTTTTCACATCTATTGAGAGATGTGAAAACATCAACAAGAAACGTCTAAAACATACACCTAAGTTTTTTTTATTTTTTGAAATATTAAAAAGTTTATTTCTGTATTATGTGAAGTGCCCAAGGGATCTGTTAATGCCACAGCCTTAATTTATTTATTTAAACAATAATCTAATTAATTGTTACGTTGGTTAATCTCATAAGATGAAATCAATTAATAATTATATATATGTTCATAAGGCCCATAACTTATCTTGTTTATATTCAATAGACTGGTTAATAGTTTATACTTAAATTGATGTGGATTGTAGTCCTAGTTATAAACAAGTCCCTAGGTTCAAGTTGTAGATTTCGCAATACACAGTCTGACTCCGTCCGTTACTGAGCTCAGTGCTGCCAACTTCTACACTGCCCATTGCAGTTCTACTGTGAAGAGGCATACTTCTCTCATCGTGCTCGCCGCTGCCCATTTGCAGATTTAATTATATGAGCGCCCATATTGAACCTACGTTCAGTCGCTAAAGAAGGATTGGAGTGCCAGCGGTTCATCCATTTCTACAACCGTCACCTGCTTGTAACTACGAATAGTAGTTCAACTTTAATTGGTTTTTAGGTTTGTATAATTTTTACTTTAGGTTTAATATATTTGTTCATTTTTTCCATTATTGATTATAATTTTGGAACAAATCATTTCTTTGTTTCATTTTTATGGTCAAATATCATTTTTTTTAAATTAAATATTTCATAATTGTTTTTATTTATTCAGCCAATCTTTATGTTTATTTATTAGAAGTTATTATTTTATTTTTTTAGCAAAGATGAAATTGGTTTCATCTTTTATATTTTATCATTAATAAATGTAAATATTTTAAGGAAGGATATGGTCGGGGGTGGCGGTCATAATTAGACTAAATAGTGGCAAAACTATTTTATTGAAAGCCAACGTTTCGACCCGACTTTGCAGGTCTTCTTCAGGGCTAGAAAGGACAAGATACAAAGAGATAAAGAGAATTGTGTGTTAGTTACATCATATTTAGATAAAAAATCTGGTGCGTGCAACACATAACTTTCACTTACTGATCTACTTTGAATAGAAATTATTTTCTGGCAATGCTGGGCTATTATAAAATTTTTCGAAGTGCATTTTTAACGAAGCTAAAGCTTGAAGCTTACAGATAACAAGTCATTAAGACCTTTATAATTACAAAATGTCTATTTAATATATCGACGACAGGCAATAAAACTCTAGTCACTCCATCTGCTTTTATAAACCACACAACTTTCTTTGCTTTTGCTTTGAGTTAGTCAACCACAGAATGACTAACTCAAATTTCAACATTTTTGAGTGATGTCATTTAAGTGATATTTTTAGTTGAAAAAGTTATCTATGCAGACAATGAGTAAGTTTATTCCGGAGGTGGTGATTGCAGCGTTGAAATATAGAATTGAGAATAAAGGCATAAATTTAGGTACTTATTTCTTATGAAAGATGTTCTTAGGAAATATACTTTATTAAATATCTGTAGAAAAAAGGTTTTTTTAATCTCAACAATTAAAAAAGTATATTTTAAATTTATCCAAATTTTCACCTCTTCAGGGAAAACAACTAGAGACCATATCTTTCCTCCTACTTGTCCGATCTTAACGATTTTTTTTTTTTATTTTTAGGAAATTCCATAAACTTTTAAAAAACCATATACAATATCCACAAAAAAGCATATACTTTTTGAGTTATTCGGAATTTAATTTTAACATCCCTTGTAACTTTTTTTCCAGCTTCTTTTCGTTGAAGTATGTTATATAGATAAATTTAAAGGGTATCGAGAAAATGACTTTAGCGAAGTTTCATTGAAATCGGGACATTCGTTTAGGTGCTACAGTCTGTATGAACGCTGGTTTTTCTGCATTTTTTTTTTTTTTTCTCCTTTATTAATTTATCAGATTCTTTCAAAAGTTATATTTAGTATTTTTTCATTACTTTGAATAATTTGAAATGATTAACTTTTTAAAATAAACCATATTAAAGGTACTTTAGAGGAAGACGTATATGAACATTGGGCATTTAAGCTCTGTAAAGTGACATCAATGGGGATAAGACCTAATTGATATTAAAGACCACTTAATGATACAATGATACACTGAGTTTAATCAAAATCGTTAGAGCCGTTTTTGAGAAAATTGTGAAAATGTGTTTCAGTGTTGATATAAAGTGGCACTTCTGGTTAGCCGATTTTAAAGAAAAAGTTGCCGTCACATCTAAGGCATATATCTATCTTAAATACGTAATATCAGTTTCGTAGGACTTTTCGTTTTTGAGCTAGACTACTAACATAGAAACACACAGACTATTTTTCGGGACTTGGTTATTTCGACTGAGGGTACCTCAAAACGTGTATTTCCGTTGAAAACTCAGATTCAAAAATTTTCTCGATCGCAATACTTACCCTTACTTACTATAAATTACATATATACGTAAGTGAAAGTAAAAATTATAAACAATGTGAATGAAAGTCTCTATTTTTATTCTTCTAATTTTATTTATTTTTTATTTTTCTTCTTCTTTTTTCTTTTCTTTCTCCACATTCCTTTATGTCCATTATTTCATATTATATCCTTTTTCCTTTTATTCCAATTTCTCCTGTAGATCTGTAGGAGTATATTCACAATTTCATTTATTATATTATGTATTATATTACAACAATTGTTACCATCTATTTACTTCAGTTTAGGATCTTGTTACTTAGCTTACTCTGTTTATACAACTTATTGTTCTTAATATTTTAATGTACTTACAAGTTTATTCACATTGTTTATAATTTTTACTTTCACTTACTTATATATGTAATATATAGTAAGTGAAAGTATTGCGATCATGGAAATTTTTGAATCTGAGTTTTCAACGGAAATACACGTTATGAGGTACCCTGAGTCCAAATAACCAAGTCCCGAAAAATGGTCTGTGTGTGTGTGTGTGAACACTCAAGCCAGTCGTAAGAGAAACCGAAATATACTAAACAGAGTAATTATAATTAAAATATAATAAACACAGTAATAAAGAATAACCATATACCAGAACTTAAAATAAAGTAAATAAAAATTGGTAACAATAATATAGATAGTAAATATTGTTTTAATGGAATAAGGAGGAAGGATTATATACATAATAGTGAGTAACTCCCACAATTCCTTATATCTTTTTGGTATCTTGTTAGTTCTAGCCCTGAAAAAGACCAGCATATTTGGGTTGAAACATCAGCTTGAAATACAATAGTTTTTTCATTATTATAAGTCTTTTTATGATCTCCCCACCGCACCATCTCCTTCCTTAATTATTTACAACAGTCAACCATCGAGTATTCAACATATTAATTTAGCTTACCAACTTTATGTAATTTTTTTTACATTCTTAAAAAAAATAATATATAAATAGTAAAATGTATCACGTTCAATAATTACCTGTGTTGGGCCATCATTTCTTGTAGCTTCGCCGCCAGAGTTTCCTCACTTAGCCTCATCGGCTCCTTCCCTTCGACCGATTCAATATAGTCTCCGAGAAGAATCCGACAAGAAAAGGAAAAATTGTCTCGATTCAGTTCTGAACCATGTTTTTCTAAAAACTGGATAGAAAAAAGAGAGTTATAAAAAAAACTAAAAATATATAAAGTTGAAAACAAGTTTATTCAAGTATAGCGAAACCTATGATTCTGACTAAGCACAGGCAGACAACTTAAGTGAGAGTTTTTGGGAGGAGCTTAGACGCGAGGTTTGTTCAAGGAGAGACGAACCTCCACTCATCAGATTGTTACCTCCTCAAATAGCCATTATTTTGAATGTTTCTTTCAACGTTTTGATTTTTATGAATTCTTTCAATCACATCAATAATTTGTGAGGTGATTTTTTTTTTAAACAAATAATTATTCTTAATTTTTCCACAAATAAGTTCTTACTTAAGTTATTATATCTTTTGAATTAAAGGGCAATTGTTATTGTTTCATATAGATTAAAAATACTCATTCTAACTATGTTTTACAAATCATATCAAGGAATATTCGTTTTATGCATTTTATTCTATATAAAATTTTATTAAAACAAAGTCAAAATTAAAAACTAATTTTACACATAATAATTCTCAGATAAAATGGTTTTAATATCATTTTAGATCTGTCTAGTTCGTCCGGGGCATGATGTTAAAACTGCGACCTGAGTGGACAGGACTCATAGCCATAGTGAAGGCAACCTGTCTAGGAGAAGGCAACCCCAAAATCAAACCACTGTCCTCGCAGTTTAAAAAGGTTGATCAGAGGGCCAGCACCCCTTCATCGGAAAAATATTTCGCTTTCAAACACAAAACAGAGAAAACCAGACGGATCTAATCGGCAACGACTTAAGGTGCAGAAACGGAACATGTTTTTTTGTACATGGAATGTCCAAGGTTTGAGTACCAAGAAAAATGAGGTGGAAAATGAACTGAAAAAGCAAAATATTGATATGGCAGACCTCTGTGAAACTAAAATCAAAGGAAGTTACAATGAACTTTCAGGAGATTTCGTGTATATCAACAGTGGAGTGGGAAAAAGTGAGAGAGCTAGAGCAGGGGTTGCAGTGGTGATTAACAAAAGATTGCGCAGGTATATTAAGAATTATGAATATGCAAATGAAAGGATAATTCAACTTGAAATGGCATTGTTTGGAGAAGAGGTTGTTATTTTTGGGATCTATGATCCAACTGAAGATTCCAAGCAATCCATAAAGGACACGTTTTTCGATGACATTTGCGACTTGATAGAGTGAACACCTGACCGTAAGATTATTATCTGTTTGGGCGACTTCAACGGATGTGTCGGCAGCAAGTTCAACCATGAGACGCTTTGGAGAAGAGGTAACTAACGGTGCAAGATTAATAAGTTTATGTGAGCAATTAAACATGAAAATATTAAATGGATTTTTCAAGCATAAAGAAATTCACAAATTCTCCTGGCACCAGCCTACTAAAGGTCTAAAATCAATCATAGATTATATAATCCTCAGGCGCACCACTAGGATAAAGGTGAACGATGTTGGAGTGATGAGAGGGCCGGAATGTTGTTCGGATCACTTTCTTTCAAAAAGTATTCTGAATTTTAAATCTCATAATCTTCTTAGAAACTCTCCAGTGACCAGAGGAAATTCAGACTATCCGAAAACAATTCAATATTCAATTGAGAGTATGAAAAATCAAGAATCAGTAAAAGGACTGTTCCAAAGCCGTCTGATGGAGAAATTGAATCATGAGAAAGATTTGAATGATCGACTATATTACGAAAATATAGTAAAGTGTCTGTATGCCACAGCTTTAGAAGCTGTCAGAGAGGAAAGGAAAGAGGTTAGAGGAAAAAACAAACCTTGATGGAATGAGGATGCTGAAATGGCTGTTCAAGAGAAAAAAATATTTATACAATAAATGGTTGAGCTCTAAAAATGAGAAGGACTTGAGGGAATATAGAAATGCCTGTAAAAAAGTAAAAGCTGTTAGGAGGACATTAAAAAAATTGAAAAATCACAAAAGATGTGGAGGAAACTTCCCATTGATCAAAGAGCAGCAATGGGTGAATTGCTTTGAAGAATTATTTCATGAGGAGTGACCCGAATTCGCATGGAACCAATCGGATAAAATAATAGCAAATAAGGAAGATATACCGCCAGTAACAATTATAGAACTGGATTCAGTTCTCAAAGGAATGAAAAATAGAAAATCTTTCAGCCCCGGTTCTATTCCAATTGAATTAATTAAAGCAGGCCCAATTGAACTCAAAATGGCACTGGCAGAGAGTATGACACTTCTGTTAAATGGTGGAGAAATCCCCGAAGAATGGAACAGGGTTATATCACCTCTGTTTTCAAAAAAGGCCAAAAGAAAGATGTTTCCAACTACAGAGGTATTACTGTTACCAGCTTGTTGAGTAGATTATACGGCCGAATAATTAAAAGCAGAATCGAAAATGACTTAAAGGAAGAGATCAGCGAGGAACAGGCGGGTTTTCGAGCTGGAAGATCATGCACTGATAGCCCTGGAGCCAGGGCCCACGCAGACGAAGGTTTGATTGTAAATTACGAAAGTATATGTTATTCTGAGTAAAAAAAACCTTGTCTGCCGTTCCAGAGCCGCTGCTTTCAAAAATGGCAGCTGATTTATTGAATATTAGGCCAGTAATTTGAGGATCGAAACGGGCAATCCATTGCGAAAAATGTGAGAAAAGCTTTTATTTTTTTAACTTGTATATATGGGTTTAGACATGTAAAAAACAAAATTGCTAACGCGGGCCACCAAGGGAAAACTTTTTACAGCCAAAAAAGTCAGATTTTTTCGATATTTTTTGGGTTTTTCACCTATAACTCCTAAACAATGCATCAAAGCGAAAAATGTATTCTTTAATAAATTAAAGGACGTTAAATTTTGCTTCAAACGAGTACATAAACTGTATAATTTGGTAATGCGGTATGGTATAAAACCACGGTCAACCAACGCTGAACTTTACCAAATTTGTCAAAAACTGAGACAAATTACTATAAATGGCCCTGTAACTTGGAAATGAGTTCCCTAAGAGGAAAATCCCATAGAATTAAAGTTGTAGAGCATCAAATTTTGAGTCCATTGAGTACTGACATTTTTATTTTAGGCCAATTATATATCTTGAATCGGGATTCGTTAGTCCTTTATAAAATTCGGAATCATTCGGAACATTGTTTACCAAAATCTTTTGCTGTTGAAAGGTGGAAAAGAAGCTTATACTGCATGTAACAGACTTTAAACAAAACTAACTCATTAGAAAAGACACCCATACTGTTGAAATATTGAAAATCAGGTTTACCTTCATTACCAATTTCTAACCATCGATAGATTACCGATTTTTTTCGCAGCCAATGACCTACATTAAATTAATTGGTACTCAGTTGACGCGAAATTTGATGCTCTACAACTTTGGTTGTATGGGTTCTTCCACTTAGGGAACTCATTTCCAAGTTACAGGACCATTTAAGTAATGGTAAATGTAATGCCTTAAGTCTGTCTAATTGTAGGAAATAAAATGGGAACATAAGAAAAAATGAAGCTTCTGGCAGGCACACTCACCCTCTATTGACACTTAAGTGTCACAAACAGGAGTAAATATAATGCCTCAAGTCTTAATAGCAGAAAACAAAACTAGCATAAACGAAAACTAAATTTAGAGTGAACAATAGGATTTTTATTTTTGGTTATTTCATTCCCTTATGCGTCTATCAGAATGATTATTTCTGAAATAATCATGACATTAATTCTGAAATAATGTATTTCAGAAATAATTATTTTGTACATAATGCTCAAATTATTTCATGAAATAAATTATTTCCGAAATAACTGGGGAAGGTTATTTAACGTTTATTTCCAAAATATTATTTCAAATAAATTCTGCCTAGGTCTTATTTAAAGTTGTTCGAAATAAAATGGTAATGAAATTATGAAATTTAATACATATAATAGCATCAAATATTACCTTCGGTACTTATTTTATCGAAGAAAATAGCTGTAATTTGTAATTTATTTGGGGAAGAACGATAGATCTACCCTGCAGATATGAGACGGTCAATCCAATCAGCCTACTAAGATATATGCGGAAGCGACTAAAATAACATTTTGGTTAAACGAATAACTGAAATTGGCGCACAATGGACCCAATAGGGGTCGATGTGCCTTGAGCCAACAATGAAAAAAAATAAAAATAAAAAATAGCTGTATTGTTTTTAATATAAGGATAAATTTTAATGTATACAAATTAAGAAAACTTTATGATCAATAGTTACACGTGATAAAAATAGAAAAAAATACTAAAAAAAAAAAAAATTACCCTTGCAAGATCTCCAAGATGCCTGAACATTCGACCACAAGGTGAGGTATAAACTACTTCTCCTTTAACTCCGCCTCTTCCGACGCTGGTAATAAAAGTTTCTCTTTTCCATCCTTTTTGTAAAGCTTCCCTTAATTTGGCTTCATCGATGATTTTCCTTCTCTTTCCGAGCGGAGCACCATCTAAAAATACTATCACTAAATGAGTACTGGCAAGTTTATTGAAAGTATAAGCATATTCTATAGATCTAGAGATTAAGAATTGTAACAAATGCAGGCATTATCATTAGTACTAGAAAGGGACAATGAAGAAAGAGAACTGGTCAACTAAAAATTTGTAAAATGAAAAGGAAATACAGTTAATAAAGTATTTTTAAAGTATAAATATTTTTTATTACTTGAGGCAATAAATTTTTTATTTTATTTTATTAATAAAATTTAAAATAACGTGAATTAGGGTTTCTAAACTATAATGATTCCATATGGAACACTAACAAGCAAAAAGAAATCATGGACAATAGGGGAAAATTTTCTTTTTAAAATAATTACTGAATATATCAAATAACTAGATAATTATTAATAATATTATTAAAAGTAATAATCTTGGATGCTTCAATCAAGCCCAACAATGATGCTTTCTTACATATTGTTTAAATGTCTTAAAATCTTTTTTTAATACACTCTTATTTAAAGAATTTCAAACTTAGTATCACTTGTTCTACTTATTTATATGTCATGATGTAAAATTGATAACCTTTCATTCTTGTTTTCTCATTTTCTTTTTAATTTAATAATGTCTTAAGAAAATTAAGTATAGGTATTGTTTTGCGAAGCCTTAAAGCATTTAATATTAATATCATAGAAGCTGAGGTGGTACGCTCATTTGTCTGAAGCATGGAAGTGGTACGCAGAGACACGGGAACCAATGGGTTAAGTAAATAAAAGAAAGAATATTATCACCTGCAGAAGATATGCTGTCACCTCGTTTCCTCTCTTCGCCATCGCTCTCCGAACTGGACTCAGATATCTCAGATCGACTATCTTCTGAGATACCATCGGTTCCAAAAGACTTTTGATCTTCACTCTTACTAGTCTGAAAACCAATGCAAAACACAGCTGAATCTCAATTTTTAAAAGACAATATTATTATTAGAAAAATATCAATTTACCATTAAGGGTTGGGGATGTTCAAATATTGAATTTGGCGAACTGGAAAGATTACTTTCTTCTTTGTCTTTGTCGAGTGCACTGTCTGAAGAATTGAAGCCGGGAAGGCGAGAAGAACCCCAGCTTTGAGGATCTTGCATGCTACTCGGATACATGCCAGAACACTTGGCTAACGCGGCGAGCTGGGCCATCTCGAGTCCTGGTTTGATACCTAAGGCTCTACTCTGGGCAAGGAGTGATGCCACAGTGTTTTTCTTTGGTTTAGAGACACCACGTCCTAAATTTCGAGGCCTTCCATCCTAGCGAAAGATATAAATAAATAAGAAATATAATAACAATTAATTTATTAATGCAAACAATATTTATTTTCTACCTATACATTTAAAATAGTAATATACCTCAGAATTAAATATCTATTCTGTTTCTTCCTAATATATTCAAAGGATAAGCGATATTAAGGAAACATGTTTGTCAGTATGAACAATATAATATTATTAAGAGAATCTATACAACACATAGGCAATGACTATTGGTAAAGTTACACATATTCTAGTGGTTTATTAAAAAGCCATTTGAACATCAGTATTGCTTTTATTTTCAATTCTTAGATATCAAAAGGATTAATACCTTTTGGCTCATTGAAGCATTTTCAAGTTTATAATGTTAAAAAAATTACTTTGTTTCTAAATGGAAAAGAATTCGTCATTATATAAAAAACTTTGTTGCAATTTTCATTGCTCTTATATTGATCGTTTTATGTGTCAGCTCCCACTCCCACCTTATCTGTTCAAATGATTCTGAGTAAATAATATAAGATAGGAAGGAGCTCACACTTAAAACGACAAATATAACAACAATGAAAATTACAACAATCTTTTATACGATGAAAAGTTCTTTTCCCTAAAAAGACAAAAGAATATATAAACATGATAGACATGAAAATGGCTCAACATACCAAAACATCATAATCCAGTACAGGATTGAAAACATAGCAAAATAAAGGTACAAAAGTTAAAAATTAGATTTAATAATAATGAAATTAGTGTTTTGGGATAATTATTAATCATTCACTAATAAATTTATCAAAGCCGCTATATAAACAAACCTTGTGCGGAGTTGTATCATTTTCTTCGCTGCCACTCGACGGATGAGAGGAATCTGAAGGAAGGTAAGGAGCTAACCTTCTTGGCTTAGGTCCAGGTTTTCTTCTATCTATAAGCAGATAATAATAATCACTAATCACTATTAAGAAACAACAAAATATTTAAATTTTAAAAATAGAAGAGAATTGGTCTATGTTAAGAAAAACGGTTGTTATGTTTCTAAGTCATACATAAAACTATTACCTGAAGAGGAGGCCAATATGCGTGGTAAATAGTATGCAATGAGATCTAAGACATTGTGGTAAATCTAAATATGACACAGACATCTAGTACATGGTGATAACTCTTTATATGACGAACAGAGAATAATAAAAAAATCTGACAGATTTTATTGTTTTTATAACCAGTAATTTGATCCTATTGTGTAAAGAAATTTTCTTTCACCTCACAGATATGAATTATTACTTTTAAGCAATAAAATTACATTTAATGATTCGCGCTGGGAAAAATGAAAATCGACTTCTGAAATTCATCTGTTTATCAAATTATTATAGTAAGAAGAAAGAAGGCTTTACTAATATATAATGTTAATTTGATTAATTACAACCAAAAGACAAAGAAATTAATTATAAAAAATAAACAATAGCTAGTTGGCACATGCGAATAATTTACAAATTAGTTTGGTAAGTGTACAAATGGTCACATTATATAGAAAAAAGTAAATGCAATACATCATGAGAGAGGAACTACAATACTAAGGATTACAAAGATTTATTATTAAAAATAATTAACCAAAACATGTGTTCAAATTTCAATTACCTTCTATCTTTGCTAAAAATGGTTTAATTTTGATGATTTTTTTTCTTGTTGTGGAGGGAATTTAGATACCTTTTAAATTATTGTGGGCAATAAATAATCAGAAATTATAAAACTCCTGGAATAATGTGGTTATTAATTAAAATGATTAAATTGTTTAAAAGAATTCTTCTTAAGAATATAATCCAGAAATAGTCCCTAATTTTTCTCGGCAAGGTGCCTAATAATTAGAATCATTGAATTGTAAGGCTACAGTCTATTTTTTTCATTTATTACGTAATTTAGAAATTTGTCAAATTAAGTTTTCATTTCTTTTTTTTTTGCTTATTTTTATAGGGAATGTACTTATTTTTCAACAGTGAAGAAGATAATCTTCAAAATGATTGCTAAATCATTGGATTTGATGAACAATTAACCAAAATATGGTACACCTACAAAATAAACAACTTTCAGAAATAATATATTATATTATTATTGAGCTTCCTTCAAAATAATGGCTCAATTATTAAATATCATAAATTATTAATACCTTTGAGAAAGTAATTAATAGTAAGAAAAACATATTTTCATATGTAATAATTACATACAACAATAATCATAAATAATTATAATAAATATATAATTCTAATAAATGCTTACTCCTGTCAGTCTGGCCAAGGGTCTGGGACAGAGCAGAAAGAGACTGCAAAGCAGAATTGTTGTGGTTATTTCTTTCAGGGACGGGCTTCAAAGAGAGATTGAGGGGGCCTTCGTCGGCAGGTTGTGGAGAGCTTTGTCCGTTTGTCTGCCCTCCGAGCCGGATCACTTCTGCTTTGTCACTTATATCGGGACCCTTTAACAAAACAAAAAATATCAACATTTTATACCATAAATCACAAAGAAGAGTAAATTATCATTGAAGAGTGAATTATCATTTACTGTTTGAAGGTTATCTCGGATGATAAATCTAGTCCGTGGTACAGACCCACCCCTTTCATCAAATTATAAACATCCAGATAAAACTTTGTGAGTAGCTTCATCTCAGCGTAGTCTACAACTTTTTTATTTATAAAAATGATTGAAATGGGGTGGTTACAATCAGGAGATCGGCAAACTTTGTCGATTTAATTGCGTAACAAAAACTCAAGAACAATTTTCCCACTAGAAACATAGCTAAAATTAATAATAAAGAATGTTGAAATTGAAATTATTCATTCTGTCAACCAAAACTCATATTTGCCTACAGAGGTGGATTGGATTTTAAATACTTTTTTTTCTAACTTATAAAAACATTTAAAGGTTTACAACGTATAGTAAGAAAATGTCATTTAATTTCCTTGGAAACATGTGATTTAAGTTAAATAATGTTAGTTTCTGAAATTATTATTTATACTTTTTTCATCTATCTCCGTTACCTTCTATAATTTTCTATCTATCGTTTTTTCAAAAATTCTCAGCTTTCCAACGATATATTATACGTATACCTTCTGACTAGTAATTCCAGAGATTCGTTTTCGATCTGGATAAGCATTTTTACTTTTTTCTTCTTTATTCAATTATCAAATTCTTTCAAAAGTTATATTTAGCATTTCTTCATAACTCTTAATAATGAGAGATAGTTAATTATTTAAAATAAACCATATTAAAGGTACTTTAGAGGGAGACATAAATAAACATTGGGCATTTAAGGCTTGGAAAGTGACATAAATGGGGGTAAGACCTAAATGATTTTAATATCATTTAATTATACAGTGATACACAGAGTTTAATCAAAATCGTTAGAGCTGTTTTTGAGAAAATTGTAATAATGTGTTTCACAGTTGATATAAAGGGTCAGCCGATTTTAAGGAAAAAGTTGTAGCCACATCTAAGGCATATACCTTTCTTAAATAGGTAATATCAGTTTCGTACGACTTTTGGTTTTTGAGCTAGACTGTTCATATACACACATGCACACAGACCATTTTTTGGACTTGGTTATTTGGACTTAGGGGACCTCAAAACGTGTATTTCCGTTGAAAACTCAGATTCAAAAATGTTCACGATCGCAATACTTACCCTTAATATATATTACATATATAGATAAGTGAAAGTAAAAAAGTGAGTACTGTTAATTAAATAATTAATTAAATTTGAAAACTTGGGTACCTTCCTTATGAAGTACTGAGCCCAAGACCCTTTGCAGGTTGCAGTGTTAAAAGTTTTTTTTTTCGACATATTATAACTGAAAATGCTAATGTAACATATTACAAATGAGAGATTATTTATTATTAAGATTAACATTAAATATCATGACAATATTTACAGTATAAAAATACTCCTTTATATTTATTTACTAGGAATTTCATTTTGTAATAATCTCAAACCAAACAAGTTTCATATTAACACCTGAATACTAGTAAATTAATTAATGAAATAAAAGTTTGAAAGTTTAACAACCAACATCCATTATATAATAGATAAATCCAGGTTGTCTGTAGTATAGAGCTGTTGGAGGTGGTGTCGGATTTCACGTAACTTGGCATGGTGATCAGTAGAACTGGTAAAGTTGATTCGGAAATCTCAAGCAGAATCTGCAAGGCAAAATCTGTTTACTGCCAGATCTGTAACTCAGTTATCAGAAAAAGGGAAGTAGAAGGAGGTAAAGCTCCACTTATTAAAACCTATCTTCCCATAATACTTCTCTTTCGAGTGAAGAGCTGGATTATGAATGAGAGACTACTAGGAGAATTGTGGGAAAAAACATCTCCAGACTGTGTTCAGAATGAGAGGATTAAGGAAGAGCTGAATGTACGCCTCTTAACGCCAACCCAAAAGAAGAGATATCTGAGGTGGTATGGGCATGATTGCTGAATGGATTACCACTGAAACCCAATTAAAACTACGGAAGTGAGACCGTAAGGAAAAAGACCAAGAGGAAGTCCAAGAATCTCCTATTTCACCCACTTGGAAAGAATAGGGAGAGGCAAAGGGAAGACCCTGAAAGATATTAGAAACCTTGATAGAGAAAGAAACTCATGACATTGGATATCAGAAACACCACAAAAAGGCAAATGGGTGGAAGAAAAAATAGAAGATAGAAGAAAAGACATAATTGAATTTAAATATATATTTAGATACCTGAATAAATTATACTTACATAACGGTATGGGGAGTCCTCAACTGATGCAATTTCTTTACTTTTCCCGCTCAGATCCAAGCCTACAAACGGCTTAGGCTGAAAAAAATTAAAAACCAATTATTTTTTATCAATTCTATTGTTAACAAAAAAAAGTCCATCCAAATTTTTATAAATATTTGCACAGAACCATTGAATTTTCAAAAAAATCCTCTCAGAGATAAAACTATAACCCTCGAAGTAGATTTAAACTAGGCTCTTGATAATTAATAAGCACTTTATTAATAACCTTCCTCCATAACCCATAACCTCCCATCAGAATCTTTACCCTTGTCCAGAGGTGTCCCACAAGGCTCCTCCTTATCTCCCACCCTTTTTTCCATCTATATCCTACACTGTCAGTACCATCTGTATGCCGATGATGTCCAGATTTACCTCTCCTTCAATCCGATTGAATCCTCTGAGACCATCCAAAAATTGCAGAACGATATAGACAGAATTTGTGCCTGGGCAAACCACAATAGAATCACTCTAAACTCCGAGAAAACAAAAGCTACCCTGATCGGAACTCCCTCACTCCTCAAATCCTTATCGACACTCCCCAATCTTTTCCTGAACAACTCACTTATCTCATTCCATACTTCCGTAAAAAACCTTGGTATTACCTTAGATCAAACTCTCTCCTGGAAAACACACTTCTCCCAAATTTCCCGTCGTACTGTCTTTACCCTGAAACAGTTTAACCGTCTCCGCTATCTCCTTCCATATAAATCTCGACTATGGCTGTCTGGTGTACGGCGGACTCTCGGAAGAATTTGAGGCCAAACTTAAACGCCTGATGAACTGTGCAATAAGTTTTGTTTTCGGAATCTCAAGAGATACGCATATAACCCAGTATTACACCAAGTTGAAATGGCTCTATCCATCCAACCGCCATCTGTACTTCCTTGCTACCTTTCTATACCAAGCCATCAGAACTCAGCGGCCTTCCTATATTTTTTATAGCCTACAATTTAAATATTCCATTCAATCCCGTCCCACTAGATCCCGTACTTCTGACCTCTATCCACCTCCTCACCGAACTGCTGCGTTTGACAAATTCTTGAATTATAAATTCAAGCTGTCTCCACTTGGAATACCATCCCTCCCGACATCTGACATGCACAATCAGTTTCCTCATTCAAATCTCTCCTTTTTAAACACCTATTTCTTTCCCAACCCGATTGATCATGAAAAGTAGATAAGAAAACTTCTCAAGTTCCCCCAGAAATGGTTTTGTTAAATTATATTATTTTATTTTCTCATGTTAGTATTATATATATATATATATATATATATATATATATATATATATATATATATATATATCTGCATGTATTTAATAGTTTTGTTTTATTTTTCTTACAATATCTTTATTTTAATGAGCATTGTAAATACTTAATTTAATTTTATGGCCACACAGGCATTTACTCTGTATCTATAATTTGTCCTAAAGGGACAAAAGTCCCAGGATAATAAAAATCTATTTTCATTCATTTCATTTCATTCATTATACTTAAGTTGAAGATGTACACAAGATAACCAGTTCTTAAAATATTTTTTTAAGAATTAATTTATTTCATGATTAAGCACAAGAGTTTGAACAGTTTTAAAATAATTCTTTTACAAATATAATCAGTGATTAATAAAGTAAAAATTATTAAAATATACTGCAAATATTCCCTTACCAAATAGTATCTATTAAATTTCTGACCTAAATAAAAAAGTGTCTGCAAACCATTCTGAATACTATTTCATTAATTATATTTATGAGATTGCTTAGCTTCAAATACTTCCACTTCCTTATAGTCTATTTAAAAATAAGTCCTATATGTTTTTCTTTATTTATCAAGTTCATCATTATATCATGAGAGATACTATTAAATCTCTGGTTTTAGGTTTGTCATTTTTAAAAAGTTTACGAATTTCATAGGTTTTTCTTTCTCTTATATAGGATCTTTACAAGTGTTAAAGATATTTTGAGTTTTTGTTTGGAAGTCATAACTGAAAGTTAAATTTAGTATTAATGTTTTTTATATTAAATTTTAGTTAATGTGTTCTTTTACTCCTCACTCATGACATGAATTATTTATAGCAGGGTAAATCCATAATAGGGACATCAAGATTTATTCCACATACATTTAAGTGATAAAGTATTAATAGGGAAAATATATAAATAAACATGATTTATCAAACATCAATTATAATTACGAGGCCCTGATAGCAGAGTTTGTTGAGGTGACCATCACAGAAACCCCAGTTTGGAGTGGTGTTGGTTCAGTTCCAACTTTAGCCAAAAAAATTAATCTTGACTCCGATGCAGATTAGTACTCAAGTGGCAACTTTTAAATTGCGAACAGAGAATAATAAAAAGATCGAAATGCTAGAAACGGACCAGAGCCTAGCAGATATGGAATGATTTCAAAATAGAATTATTTATTCATACGTAAATATAAAGTACAAGAATAATAATTTTAAAAAGTAATTGTTTTTTAATCCTCAGTATGGCATTTATTTCCATTAAAATTTATGCATTCTTGGACTTAAACATGGAAATTTTGACTAAACTTTTCGCAGTATACTGTGGCACATGCACTGCTCAAGTGCTTGGCTAATTCTGGATGGATCGACATCTAACATTCTATTTCCTGATCTAATAGATTGAGACTTTTTTTTTAATGGTACCTAATGTAAAAGGCCACATTTGAGCGAAAGATCCTGCGAAAGATATTTGGACTGGTGTTAGTATGTAGAGAATGGAGACGAAGAACAAATGAATAACAAACTCTTTGGCGAGCCTGACGTTGTTAGTCTTATCAAACGATATCGTCTAAGATGGTCCATGGCCGGAGGAGAGTTGGCCGCCCTCAACTTCAATGGATTGACTATGTGGCTGCGTTACGAGGAGTTTGGGAGTCCACAACTGGATGGCTGCGGCGCAGGACAGAAATTTCTGGAGGTTGTTGGTTGAAGAAGCATGGACGCGTCAACGAGTTGTAGCGCCTAACTAACTAATTGATCGAGACTTTTTTTTAATGGTACCTAATCTAAAAGTATTCATGTTTGATCAATCCAGTACTATCTAAGCCAGGTCTTCCCAATCTTTTTTCAACAGCGGACACATTTATAGGTTAGGTCTTGAGTGACGGGCATCAAGTTTTTGTTCATTGTAAATTGCCGGTAGGTTACTGTTCATAAATTTAAAAAGAAAATGTAAATAGTATCAAAAAAAAAAAAAAAATATATATATATATATATATACATATGTGTGTAGAGTAGCAGACATCTTTATCATTTCTAAAAGTAATAGTATATATTTCTACAGAAAAGGCGAAAATGCCAAGTACAATTATGGTATTAATTTTGTAAAGTTTTGTTATATTAAATTAACACATTTTCAAATTAAAATTGAAAATTAATTAAAAGCAACATTGATTATTTATAACTAGTTATAAAAGGAGTTGAATGCAATGTTAACAACAGTTTCATTCATTTCTTTTACTACCAAAGAAAGATATTAATTAAAACAATAGTAATGGCATTATATCGATAAATGAATTATTATTTTTAAATAATTATTATTATTGAATTTTATATCTATGATCTCTTATTAGATTTTTAAGTATTCAAATATTTAATAAAGGAATTGTACAATACTTGAATTGAAAATTCGTCTATCAGCAGCATGTCACATGAAAAAAATGATGATGATTTAAAAAAATACAAAATAAATTATAACTTTCAAAGTGAGAATTCATACTTACAATTAAATATTAGATATTATTAAAATAAATATTGAACATTTAATAGAAAACTTTTCCATCACCAGCAGGCAACACTAAAACTGTAGTCAAGGCGATTGCCGCTAAAGCTTATACGCTAAACATTCGCGGGCACAAGCGACGTCACGTGGGTTCCAGTGGGCCTGCGAGCCCTCTGATCTAAACCCTAACCTAAAATAATGCATTTGGAATAAAGCAATATCCATCAGTATATCGTCTGGGAACATATAAAACATCTAGTAGCTATTCCAAAAATGCATCTTTTTTAATAAATTTTTTTTTAAAATATAGAAATGGTTATTCTTTTATTTTTTTATATGATTATTCTTATATTCATTCCGTTTTATTGTATTTATAGCAACATAAATTCTAAGAGAATACTTATGAAATATAAAAAACTTTAACTCACTAGCATTCCTGATGACTTAGAAGCTTTCGAGCCATGCATATTCGGCATGTCCAAGGAAATGGTCTTCTTCCTCCCCCTATTTGTCGTCCCTGGTATCTTCGGGCCGATGATAGAAGAGGTGTACTTGATGATTTCCGTGTCAGGAGGCAACCTAACACCCATAATACTATCACTGCAAACAGGATGTTATTAAATTAGGATGAGAAGGAAAAAAATAATAACAAAATCAAACCCTCTCCTTAAGGCCTAGGTTTTACTGTAAAAACAAGCAGAAGCATACAGAATTAAAAAGCATATTACAATTGTAGAGCCCCTTAAAGGAAACACTGAAATAAAAAAATTATTTCTTAACACTTAATATTAGTCAATGAACTAAACAATAGTTATTCCCTCAAGTTTAATAACTACTTCAATCCTTTTAATAAATTTTATTTTTGGGATCTTTAGAGAAGTTTAGTAATCTAGGATCTATGATAACTAAAAAGAAGATTAAGGTTAGATTAAAAGTGGGAAATGCTAGTTATTTTTTTGTGACAAAACTAATAAGCTCGCACCTTTTATCCTGGAACTTAAAAATTAGAATTTACAAAATCATTATCCTTCCTATGGTTCTTTATGGATAAGAAATGTGGTGGCTTACATTAAGGGATGAGCAACGTCAACGTTTTTGCATATAAAGTATTGCGTAAAATATTCGGACTAAAGAAGGATGAGTCTATCAGAGAATTTAGACAGCAAAACAATGGTGAATTCTGTGAACTGTATTTGGTTAATATAATTGAGGTGATTACATTGTGAAATGAAAATATATTTTATTATTCTGGGACTGTTATCCCATTAGAACAAATTATAAGTACAGAATACATGTATGTGTGGTCATAAATAAATTATATATTTACAATATTGGTTATTTAAAAGCAAAAATATAGATGGAGAGAGAGAGAGAGAGAGAGAGAGAGAGAGAGAGAGAGAGAGAGAAAAAGACATGAAAAGCGTGCATATATATAAGACAAACAAAGGAAACTAAAATAACAGAAATAGTTTCTGGGGGTACTTAGATAGTTCTCTTAGGTATATTTAGTAATCAGTCGGATTGAGAAAGGAGTAGGTGTTTAAAGAGGAGAGGTTCGAAAGAGGATACTGATTGTACGTGTCGAATATCAGTAGGGATGGAATTCCAGAGGGAGGCAGCTTGAATTGCAAAGGATTTGTCAAACGCAGTAGTACGGTGAGGAGGGTAGAGGTCGAAGTACGAGATCTATTGGGCCAGGATTGGATGGATTATTTGAATTGTAAGCTGTGAAAAATATATGATAAAATATGATCTGGCACAGAAAGGTGGCTAGGAAATACTGACGACGATAGGATGGATAGAGCCACTTCAACTCGGTACAATACTGGATAACATGCGTATCTCTTGAAGTTTGATCTCGAAATCTCCCGAGAGTCCACCGTACACCATACGGCCATAGTCGAAGTGGGAGAAAAGTAGGAGTTGACAGGAATTATACAGAAGGAGATAATGTAGATGATTGAACTATTTTAGGGTGGGGATTCGGGAGATGTGTGGTTTCCCGGACAGGGTTTGATCAAAAGTAACACCTAGGTTTTTAATGGTAGTGTGGAATAAGATAAGTGAGTTGTTCAGGAGAAGATTGTGGAATCCCGTGAAGGATTTGAGAAGTGAGAGGGATCCGATCAAGATGGCTTTTGTCTTCTCGACGTTCAGAATGAGCCTGTTGAGGTTTGCCCAAGTACTTATTCTGTGATATCTTCTTGGAGTTTTAGAATGGCATCTGAGAAATCGGTCGAATTAAAGGAGAGGTAAATTTGAATGTCGTTGACATACAGGTGGTATTGATAGTGCAGGATAGAGGATGGGAGGTCATTTATATAGATGGAGAAAACGGTGGGGAATAAGGAAGAGCCATATGGGATGCCTCTGGACAGAGGTAGTGATTCTGATGGGGGGTTATTAGAAATTATAACATACTGGGAGCGACCGATAAGGAAGGATTGGAACCAATTAAGGGGACTAGAAGAAAAAGAGATATTTTTAAGTTTGATTAGGAGGATGTTGTGGTCTACTGAATCTTGGAAAAGTCAAGAAAAGCAAGGTTGGTTACTTTCTGCTGATCTATGGCTGTGTGAAGGTCTTGGGAAATTTTTATTAGGGCAGACTGACTAGAATAACCAGGCCTGAAACTGGACAGGTAGGGATTGTGGTGAATAAAATGTGTAGAATTCTTGGGCTTAGTAACAAAATAATTCTTAAAAGGTAAAAGGTTAAGTGCTGTGCAGACTAGTTAACTTCCGAGAGATAAACCGAAGAGAAGTTGGGAGGATTACCTTAAGGCTGATCTGGGAGGACTGGGTTTGGATGGTGACTGGTGGAGGGAGGTGTGTAAACAGCAATTGGTGGTATCAGCATTGAATCTTCGGGTTCACTAAGCTTTTTATTTCTATTATTATTATCATTATTGATTACTAATTTTTTTTTTTTACTAGTAATTACAGGTACAATAATGCTTTTAGGGATAAGATTAGAGAAGAAAAAAAACGATATTTTTTCTTGACATGTACTTACATTTAGTAGATGAAGTAGAAGCGTTATGATTTAAAATAAGGGGCTCCGAACAAGTTAATAAATACGTCCATAAAAAGAGAATAACCTACCTTGAACTAGTAGTTGCTGGTTGGCTACTGACTGGAACAGAACTAGTCGGAGGAGTAGAAGAAGATGACGAAGACTTAGAATGGCTAGATTTGCCCCCTGAAACTAAAAGAATTAAAACAAAATCTTACAAATTTAATATTTATACTATAAAATAAAATAATTTAAAAAAAAACGACAGTGTGAACATAATACAAAAACTAAAAATCAAATAAAATGAACCAAAAATAAAATCCAAATCATAATGAGAAGCAATTGTTGCAATTGGAAATTATTTTAGAAATTTCATTTTTTTTTTTTTTTCAGAATTGTTTACATAGGAAAAGTACTCCCAACATACTGAAAATTGAAAGATGCACTGATGGTATTAATTCATCAATTTATAATTTATAAATTGTCTTAGTTATTACATTAGTTACTATTGTTTTCATCTTTTAATTTTTTTATTAATAGTATCATTCATTTTAGCTCAGAAGAAGACCTGCAATATAGGTCGAAATGTCAGCATTTAATAAATAGTTTCCACTAATTTCATGTTATTCTTGATAGAAATCTGGACCATCACATGAATTAAAAATTGATCCATTTTATTTAAATCACGATTCAGTGCATCCTGCTCACCTTAATCCTTTCATAATTTATTTTAACAGACTTCATGAGTTTGTCAGAGTTAATAATAATAATTTTAAAAAATCGTGCACCACTACGACCCATGAAGGGTTTTGGGTTCTTTATTTTTTTATTATTATTTATTTATTCATGTTTTACTTTATTTATTAAAGAAGTTGACTTCTTGAACAAATAATTCAAAATATTTATTAAATATGTCCTCATGTGAGTCGTTTCCTGCATCTCATAATAAAAATTGCATTTTAAACAAATAATTACTCTTATAGTGGATTGATGGTTGACTGTAGTGAATAATTGAAGAGAAGGATGGTTGGGGTGATCAGTCAAAACGAAAAATAGTAAAAATAAATAATTATATTTATTTTTATGTTTGCCGATGTTTCGGTCTGATGAAGGTTCAGGCCTTCGTCAGGGCTGTTCAATTGAAGAAGCGTCAAAATGCAAATATAAAAATAAATATAATTATTTATTTATACTATTTTTTATTTTGGGGGAGCGGGGTAGCTCAGTGGTAGGGCACTGAGCTTTCAATGCTAAAGGTCCCAGGGTTTGAACCCTGGCTCATGGCTGAAAATTTATTTATCTGTTTCATTGGCCGTGGGGACACCCTGGGTCGGGAGACCGTCCTGGGGCACACCCAGCCTCTATAAAGTGGGTATCCTTAATTCAATAAATAATTAAGGGGGAAAACCTGGCAGTTGAGCGTGATCTCGGTCACATCACCTCCTTGCACAACCGTTGACCTAGAAACAGTGCTTTTCCTAAATAATACTGAACCCACCAAGACCCTTCATGAGTTGTAGTGGTATAGGTTTTTTTTATATTTTTTTTTTTTTTACTGATCATACCAACCATCCTTCGGTTCAATTACTCTTATTATAATAAAAATAAGCTATCTGATATTTATGACGTATGGGTTCAAGATTCTTAAACGTCTGATGATTTGTGTTTTGTGCATATAAATATTAAATACTCTACAGGAGAAAAATCTAGATGGCTGAGAGTTCTGTAGACTGGGTTATTATTTGAATTTAGAATTTTATTGAGGTCTGGAGACAGAAGATGATTTTCCATTTTTTCTATAATGGTCTTCTTCTGATTTTGCATTCCCGTTTTGTAGATCTCGTTTAGTTCATTGAGATTATTAGTTGTTGTGGACTGTGAACTTGTAAGACCCAGTTAAAATCAATGGCTACTTCTAAGTCTATTGAAGCACATTTGTGGATATTTATTCTCTGGTAGCGTTGAGTCTTGTTCAGAGGTTGACAACTTTTTTTTATTATCATTATTTTAATAGGACGCCGTCCAGTCTCCAGTCTAATTATATAATTCGGTACACGTTTAGGCCAAAGGAGGAGATTGTTAAGAAATTTTAGCTGGATGACTTCGAGTGCATCTAAATACCTTAAACTCCATACCTCGGAAACATAGAGTAATGTAGTTAAAACCTTTGAATCAAACAATGCCATTTTTGTTTCCCAGGCGTCACTCTTTCCTTTTCTAAGGATTTCTAGTACTGTGCTACCTACCATGGATGCCCTTTGAATAAAATGTTTAGATGCTTTATGTAATTTCCCAGAAAATGAGAATGGCATCCCAAGATCAGTATAGCTGTTAGTATAATCTAGTCGAGAATTCTGCCAATGGATTGAGAATTGATTTTGGTGGGTTTAATGTTAAGCTATTGATCCTGCAGTATTGTACGAGAATCCTCAATTTCTTTTGTTCAAATTCTCAATTTTGATGGCAGGTAGTGTCAAGAAGTACAATGTCATCTGCAAACAACAACATTCTGGGTTCTGTACTTTACTTTGTCAGGAAGTATTCAAGGCCAATGTTAGTGCAGGGAGATGATCAGGGCAAGATCATGCTCACCCGCCAGGTTTTTCTCCTTAATTAAGAGAACCCACTTTATATAGGCTGGGTGTGCCCAGTAGGACCTCTAAATCCCATAGTCGATTCAAGAGTGATAAAAAATTACTTTACATCAGCCAAATTCAAATCCAGGACCCTGAGCTTGGCAGCCAGAGCCTAACTCACAATGCTACTCCACTATCTTGTATGAGTTAATACAGATTTAAAAACTTATACTATATTAACACTTTTTTTTACAAATATGCAAATGAGAGAGGGTTTCCCCGAGTTGACCCAGTGGATAAACTTAAATTTACATCATAAAGACTTTGCAATTATTATTATTTCTGTGCCCCGGAGCTAAAGGACACCATATCCATTTTTTATTAAATAATTTAATAACTAAGAAACAAATTTTAACAGCTCAAAGTTATGTAAATCGGCTTCCCCAACAAATACAAAAATGTGACATGATGTCGTTTACCTCCAGAGTACAGATTTAGTACAGATAAAAACTAAGAAACAGATTTTAATAGCTCAAAGTATGAAACATTGGCTCCCATGAAAAAATACAAAAATAGAAATGGTATTCTTTACCTCTGCGGTACAGATTTAATCATCATTACTATAAAATATGTAATATCCTATATAAGAAAAAATGGTATTTTGTAATATTACTATAATATAAAACCATTTTTTTAATAACTATAACAAATATTTAAGATATAACTAAATATTTAAAAAAAATTAATATCTTAATATGTACTAAATTACTGCATGATTGTTGGAACTTACGATGTGGTGGCGTTGCAATCATGGGATAAGGGGGTATGATGTTGGAGGCAAGACCAGCGAACTGTAGACTTGCAAGGTAATCTTGGGCAGCGATCTGGGAGGCCATGTTCCACCAGGCTGGGTTGATACCAAGGTTCGCGGCCTGGCTCGCCGCCACCGACAGGGTCGTGCCATACGGGTTGGAGGGGTAGGCACCCCCGGCACCGCGACCCATTAGTCCGCTGTAAGCAGCCGGGTACCCACCAAAGAGGGCTGGAAGAATAATTTAAAATTATTTACAATACCATAACATATATAGACAAATTTAAAAACATATAATTATAATGTCATTCAACCAGAATGATTGTAATAATAATATTAATCATATGCATAGCGTCAGTGACTAATGGCTCCTATATGTGACATGGCCAGTGAGAAAAATAAGTTGAAATAGTGCACATTTCTAAACTCAATGCTAATACCATCAATGGAATCCATCAGTGATTTAATTTGAGATTTGAGACAACCTGTTTGATTCAAGCAGAAGGTTGGCACTTCTGGAAGGTAACAAAGCATGTGGATAACTATAATCAAAGATAATCATAATTTAATTTTTGAAATTATTTAACAGGTTGTTCATCTCAAGTCATACTTATATTTTGTTTTAGTCAAAATTTAACTCTTTCACTATTTCATATCTCTAGATAACTATTGTTTTAAAATAAAAATATTCATTTTTATAGTTTTTATCAAAATGAGTGGTTGGTTTTTCTAAAAATAACATTCTTACTTTAATATTGAGGAAATGGATATTAAATAAAAGATTTCTTCTGAATTAACATAGAAAACTTTATTGTGGATTTTAAAAACAGAAATAACAACATTAAGGTTATATCCATCAGATCCATTGACCCAAATGGGTCATTAATGATTTAATCGATGAATAAAAAGATGGCAACATTTTCATTAATGAGATACATGTCCACAGTTTTAAGTTGGCTAAGAGAAGAGTTATTTCACAGCCGCCTTTCATCCTTCGATTTAGGCAAGACTTGAATCGGTTCACAAATTAAGGACTGGATGAGGAGTTGCCATACAACCTCTTCCACTGACAAAAAAGAGAAAATCTTTTCTCAGATGGCCCGATTCCTTATTGCTATTCTAGAGGCATTGGTTTTGTTCTTTCCTCCACGGCTGGAGGACATTACTACCTTGCGTCCCACCTGCAAAGATCTAGATTATTTTAACAACTGTATAGCTTAGCAAGTACAGATTATAATGAACCAGCCAGGATATACAACAATTATTGGACTGTGCAGCGCTTAATGAAAAGGATGTATCTTGGATAAATAACAAATAAAAAAAGTTGTATTTGTTGTAGGTGTATTTTTAAACAATTGCCTTATCTTTCTTTTACTTTCCATTAATCTCTAGAGAGGAGATTTGTTATAAAGATACAACCTATAGATACAAAACCTGTTCCGATCGGTGAGGGAAAAATGCAGATGCGATTCATTACGTGGATCTCCCACAAAATTAATTTCAACTAACTCAGGCCAAATTCGAACCGGCACCACTAGACTCAAATATGTTATGCTCGACAATTTCACTCATTCTCACTGACAGACAATTACAACTATCTAAATATTACATCCCCTAATAATATTTCAATAAATTTGAGAGCACATTCCAAACCTACTCCACATATTTCATTATTTAGGTTGGTATTAGTGATTAATTTCTCTTAGTTACGCATTATAAACCAGACAATAAATGTTGGAGAGAAATACTAAGTACTTAGCATAAAAAAGTTTAATGATATCATAGAAATAGACATATTTATTACCTAGTAAAGATTTAATTATGAATTATTTGTTTCTATAAATACAGGAAAGTAAAATATACTAACGATTTGCACCTCCAGCATTACTACCGTCAGGTCGTGGCCAGTACGATGCTGTAAGAATACAATAATACATAAACATAAAAATGTTGAAAGGAAATGATAAATATTTAAATTAATTGGTATTTTTCTTAATAAAGTAGATATTTTATTTTAATAATAAACTTGTTAAAACATACAAAAACAATTCTTTATAAAATAATGCTGCTTTCCTCCATGATTGTTAATTGTCAAAATTTTGAAGTTCATGCATGTTATCTTCAGCAATATTATATATTAATAAATCTCTTTTAAAATAAAAAGATCGTCGAAATATTACAAACTGATGAAAATCCTGTCGGAATCGGAAATTACTACATAAGCCATTGGTACCCAAAGATTTTTCATTTTAGAAAATATTGAAAATTACATTTCCTAACAAAACAAAATTTGAGTTTTACATTTAACCAATATTAAATTAAGTCTTAAAAAACCCCAAATACTCCCAAAAAGATATTTCACAAACAAGAAATCTTATTAGCAAGAAAAAAAATAATATTTTTTTTAACAGCCTAATAAGTAACTTTAAGAAATCAAGAAAAAAAAAATGATGAACTATCTTAAAATACCATACGATATACCATTGATGGAAGTATAAGTAAAAAATAATAATTTATTTAAAGACTTATAGAAAGTCTAATTGTTTAATTATTATTTCTTTATTCCATATTTTTTTTTTCCAGCAATTTAGGTACCATTAACACCATTTCTGAAATTACATATAATGTGAAATTTTTAAAACATTTATTTTTAAAACAAACATTTATTTTAATAAAAATAAACATGTTTTAAAAAATTATTAAAAATTGTCTACTTTTTTCACTTTTTAGGTAATTTACTTATTATTCATTTGTTCAAAACTTGTTTCTACTTTTCTTAGCGGACGTATTAACTTTGTGTGTTAACACAGAAGGTAGTCCTCAAAATGATGACTCAATCATTACTTGTGACAAAGAATTTAGGGATATATATTTCAAAAAAAAGAAAACAAATAATAAATATATAATGATAAGAAAAATAATGTAAATAAACCTTAAAATGTCGACAGATAAATAAATATAATCGAGCAAAGGTTTCAATTTGAACAAAAAACAATTCAATTAATTATATATTATTTAATATTGATTATATATATTTCTTTACTTCCAAACAGGCTGGCTGCATCCAATAGATTTGGTGTGGGTCGGTCTTTTTCTCTATCTGCACTGGCTGGGGCATTCTCCTTCTCCATATCACACCCACCACCTGCAATCATCAATTAGCAATTAGTTACAAATAAATATCTTTTAAATATAATACATATATATATATATATATATATATATATATATATATATATATATGCTAGTAGGCCTGCGTGAAAAATTCGCACAGCATATTGATAAGTGATCAAATGCCTAATTAATTATAAAATAAAATAATGCAACATATCAAAAGATAAAAAAATCAATTGGTACTTTATCGATAAATATAATAGACAAAGAAAACAAAAATTAATTTAAATCTTCATTAAGTTTGAAACCAACATGTTTACAAATTTCAATAAGCTGTGTATATTTTCTAAATATAGTCCGATTTGGATGATTTTTTTTTTTTCCTTTTGTAGAGAATTTAGTAATTTTTTATATAATCGTAGGCATAATCAAGGGAAAAGTGTGTAATGTTTTGTTTATTCGCAAATAAAGTTTCTTTTCCTTCATAACTTGTTTGCCTGAATTTTTGGAGTGATTGGACTAATTTGCCCGCCTGAAGGAGAAGGAAGCCTTCGAAATCGGTGGCTCAATCTTGAGATTTGGCGAAAAATTAACGATGATATGGCTTGCCGATCAAAAACTCCATCGATAAATAATATAAATTCCTCCTCTATCGATCATGGGGACCTCAAGTCGACGAAATGAGGCATGTATTCCATGACAGTACTACAATTAACGTAAGATTGTGTGGATGCGAACTCTATGCTTTGCATTATCTCGAAAATAGTAGGTTTTGAGGACTAAAAAACGCAACGCAGGATCCGATAGTTCCGAGGGAACGCTTCCGAGGGGATTGTAAGCATCAAAATCTTCAAGGTCCAATTTGTCCCGTATCGATCTACAGACCTACCACCTTTCTATTATTGAAGCCTAGCAAAATGTTTGCATCGACTTTATTTATTTTAGAAAGAAAAACAAAAGTGGAGAATACGGTTCGCTAAACCCCCGTGAAATTCTGAATCCAACATGACCCCATTTATGGTATTTGAGCATGACAGGAGCTTATATTTGGTACAAAACCGATTTCGAGCCTTACTGTAATGATATATGTGGGGATGGGGATGGGGATAAATGTTTAACATTCCACATGAAAAATGAAATAATATTATGGAACAAGTTCGAGTGTACTATTTCTCTGTGTAATTTGTCAAAATTATTCTTTAATAAGAGCCACACATTTGACATTGACAAATTTAAAGTAGTAGGTATTTTTAATGATGATTTGATAATTCTTTTCATCCCTACAAGGGTAATAATAATCACGATCACATTTACATAGTTTCTATTCTAATGTAACATTTAACTTACAAATAATCTTTCTTCATTCTCTTTTCGCCAAAATAAACAGTGTTTATTTTTTCTGTGATGTACAATTTTCGTTCTAAAATGATATACCACCTTTCAGGAAAAATTGTTCGTAGACCTCTAAAATGGCGGTTTTGTGAATACCTCAATTGAAATGGTTCTACGTTTAAATTGATAAGAATTCAACAATACTACTAAATTTTAAAGTCGTCCCACAATACATGCCAGAAGGCCATCTATTTTACTTATTTAAATTTGAATTACTTTAGTTAACAAAAATTGACAGTTACATGTGAGTCAATATAATTACCCACTTTGAACAGCTACAGTTCAAACAAAATAAATACACCTATTACTTATATTTTATTAGAAAACATGAATTACTTTGGATGGAAAAGTTATTAAAATTATTAATGTCAAAAGTCTGTTTCAAAACAAACCAGATCATACCAATATATTTGGCTCATATATCATTAAGAGAGTCAATAATTTATTAGGAATATAACTAAAGTAAAAAGTAATTATCTAAATCAATACTTCTTTTTACTTATCAAACATCACAATTCTTGATAAATATAAAAACTTGAAGATTGTTTTTTATGGAATATGATAAAAAGAAATATAAATACATATCCAGATGCCAACATGCTCAAAGTTTTTTGAAAAATTTAAACCAATTAAATCCACTCATTGCTAACACCTTTAATCAATTTGGTTTTTAGAATTATCAAAACAAATTGACTTTGATAAAACAACTTACACCTCCATATTTTCTTTTTATTATTTTTTTTCATGTTTCGTACATTTAGTAATGAACTATAAGAGCATTGTTTATATTATCGACTGTATTAACGACTTGGGATTAAAACACAGTTAACATATATAGTATGTCAACATTTGGCGTTGTTTGAGTCTTGATTGAAAAATATAAATAAATAATAAAAGGCTTAGCGAACCCGAAGGTTCGATACCGACACCACAAATCGCTTATTACACATCATCCTCCACCGTTCACCGTCCAACCCCAGTCCCTTCACATCGGCTTTAATGCAATCTTCCCACCTTCGCTTCGGTCTACCTCTCGGACGTTTACTATTCTGTATGTACCAGCAAATATCAACCTTTTAGGAATTCTCTCGTTACTAAGCCCAACAATTTTACAGGCCCATTTGATTTTCCGAGATGAAATCACCTCAATTATATTACCCGGATACAGTTCACGCAATTCGGCGTTGTGTAACCGTCTGAACTCTCCAGTTAATTCATCCTTCTTCGGTCCGAATATTCTACGCAATACTTTATTTTCAAAAACCTTAAGACGTTGCTTATCCCTTAATGTAAGCGGCCACGTTTCACAACCATAAAGAACTGTAGGTAAGACAATGGTTTTATAGATTCTAATTTTTAAGTTCCGGGACAAGAGGCGCGAGCTAAGTAGTTTTGTCACAGAAAAATAACAAGCATTTCCCGCCTTCAGTCTAACCTTAATCTCTTCCTCAATTTCGTTTTTTCTAGTTATCGTAGAACCTAGATACCTGAACTTCTCTACCTGTTCAAGCATATTACCATCTATATCGATATCACCAGTAATATCGCCATTTTTGCAGCCAACCATATATTTTGTCTTATCCGTGTTTATTTCGAGCCCTAGTTCTTTACTGGCATTCATTAACGTTGTCGTATTAAGTTTTATAGTTTCCACGTCTTCGCTTAACAGTAGATCATCCGCAGTCCAGCACGGATGTTGTCCCACCCAGATCCCACCCTTCTTCGGTACGCATTACCTCACTGGCATGTTCTAATGTCAAATTGAACAGACAGGCAAAAGGGAATCCCCCTGTTTTAAACCCGAACGGATCTCAAACTTTTAAAAAATATAAAACAAATAATTTATTTCCTGCTTAGTATTTAATATAAAATTCTATATTTTTGCTTCTATTAATTTAGATAACCTAAAACCCATAGATAAAACGCCAACTTTTTTAGACACTTTCTTTTTAATTGCTTATGTTAAAATAAAAGTGAAATCAGCCATCAGCTATTATTTTAACTTTGTAATATTAATTTGCTGATAAATTCTTAATTATGGAGTGGCTTTTGTGTAAATTTTCTTAGTGAAAAGTCAGGATTTCGAGAAAAAATGAGGTTGTAAAGGAATTTAAAAAAAAATATGGCTTTCGTCGATCTAACATTGTATGGGGTTAAAAAGCCAGTCCCTCCCCCGGTTACTAATTAATTTGCAGCGCACCTAGGAAATCTGATGTAATAATGCAATAAGCCATTAGCTGCGAATGTGTTTGATTAGTTTTTCTTGTTATAAATCTAGGAGTAGGTTCCTTGGTTATTTTCTTTTCAGTCTGCTTCGATCAGGTAACAGAGATCAGGAAACGGAAAGGTCTAATGGATTGATGGGATTTAGAGTTGAAGAATTAAATGAATAGTATTTGTCGTGGATGTGTGGTTTTACTGTTGGGATGTTTCTGTCGTTATGTATATTGCTGTTTGAAATGTACCAAGATGCGTCGTAGATTTTTCCTAGAATTTTCTTATTATGTTGTTTGTATTTTATTTGTGTGTTTGTCTTACCCAAAGTTCTACTCCGTATGTCCAAATTGGTCTCAAAAGGTTGTTGTAGATCAGTCGTTTGTTTCATAAGTTAAGTGTAGTCCAGAAGATGCGAGAGTTGGTTATATCGTCTAATCAGTTCTTGTCTTCTTAATTTAGTATGTATGTTCCAGGTAAGTCTTCTGTCTAAGTATACTCCGAGGTACCGTCCATAGTTATTTGAAGGAACTGGATTATTGTCAATCGTTATTGGTGGACTCGAGGCTTTTCTAAGTCACGTGAGGGGATTTGCAATTATTAATTTTAATTTTACAATTCTCGAACCAGTTTTGAAGATCATATAGGTGATTTTGAAGGGCAATTGATGCCATAGTAGGATTTTTGTCGGACGAAAGAATTGCAGTCAGTGTCTTCAGCGAAGCAATAGATGGTGGATAAAATATATTTCAATTAATGTTTCCTTTGGCAATTTTTTCACATAATTCCGAAAAAACTTTATAATCAATATATATAATCTAATAATTTTCTTTTTCACATTTTATTGAAATTGAATATTACATTCTGTCACTATTAAGGGCATTAGCAGTAGTGATAAGAGTAGTTCATTAAGACTCTCAATAAAAATAAACTAAACTTTTTTTTTTTTTTTCCTTTTTTTTTTTTTTTTTTTTTTCTTACCCTCCAAAAAGTTTATTGAAACAATTACATATATAGTATACAATAATACAATATAAACATGTAATAAATTCCTTCCACTGCCCGAGGGCAGAATAAACTAAACTAATCAAAACAAGATGTTAAATATAGGCAAAGAATACATAAAAGATGAGAATGAAAGTTGTAGAACGATGCATTTATTAAATAGAATATAGAAAATATTTTTTTATTTACTTCGATTGATGTAAAGTATAAAAATCCTAACATTTTTAAATTTCTGTCGTGAGGTAGAGAGAAAAAACATTTATTAATGTGAACATTTGTATAAATGAAATTATTACTCACTTTAAGAATGGCTGACACCTAATTAAGTCACTTATATTAAACGTTTGACGGAAAGTTTCTCTAATTTACTTCAATTTGAAATAAAAAAGATATTAATCATTAAATTCGAAATTCTATTTT